GCCATAAAACACTCTCAGGGAAAAGTCCGGGACCAGATGGATTTACGTCCAAGTACTTCAAAACATTCTCATTGACTCTAAATAAAACCCTTCCTTACAGCATTCAATTCCCTGTCCCAAGGCCACAGTTTACCACGTGACACATTAGAAGCCCATATCACACTCATTCCCAAACCAGGGAAAGACCCCACGGAATGTAGTAGTTACCGCCCTATTTCCTTGATAAATGTGGAGCTAAAGATTTTTACTAAGATACTAGCCAGACGTCTTAAGCCATACCAGCAGGGACTAGTCCATCCTGACCAGGCTGGATTTGTGTCAGGCAGAGAGGCCAAAAACAATACAACCAAACTTCTGAATATTATATACCATGCTCATAAACAAACAACACAATGACTGGCCCTCACGATTGACGCCGAGAAGGCGTTTGACAGGGTGGACTGGTCCCTGTTAACTGCCACAATACAGGCCATGGGATTTGGCCCAAACTGGCAAAAGTGGCTTTCAGCTCTTTACTCTAACCCCGGAGCAAAGATAAGGGTGAATGGTCAGCTCTCTGACACAGTACATATCTCTAATGGTACAAGACAAGGGTGCCCATTATCTCCTCTCCTTTTTATCTTAACAATGGAGCTTTTCCTACAGGGAATTAGGGACATCCCACATATTCAAGGTATACAAATAGCTGAATATGAATACAAAGTCTCCGCATCTGCAGACGACCTCCTTTTTACTTTGAGAAACCCAGAAACATCATTACCACATTTAATGCAGGAAATAAACTTCTATGGACAAGTGTCCAACTACAAAGTAAATAAATATTAGTAAAAGTGAGATACTTCAGCTAAATATATCCAATGATACTAAATTCAAACTTCAACAGAAATACCATTTTCATTGGCCTCAATCCTCAGTGAGGTATCTGGGAGTTCAACTATCGGCTTCTTTAGATAAAATATATGATTTAAACTTCCCTCCTTTATTAGCAAACGCCAATAAAAATCTTAAAGATTGGGATAAACCACACTTTTCATGGCTTTGTAGGGTCCATATTTTAAAAATGGCCATTCTTCCCAGATTTCTTTATCTGCTACAAACATTGCCCATACACATACCACCCAGCTTCTTTATGAAGGCAAAACAACTATTCACCTCTTACTTATTGGCGGGAAAACACCATAGATTACCTTATTCTATTCTCACGAGACATAAATCGCAAGGAGGTTTAAGCGTCCCAGATATCAACAGCTACCGTAATGCCATACTCCTATCTCGTAAATACGACTGGGTAGACCCTCAAACCCAAAAGCAATGGACGCAGATAGAAACCACTAGTTTCACAACAGCGCCCAAAACTATACCATGGCATAAACCCAATACGAACATACTTCACCCAGGCCACGAAGACCACCCCACTATAATTCCCACCTTAAAAGGATGGCACCGACTTAGACAAAATAAACACATCTCTCCTCACCCATCACCACTCTTTCCAATTACGGGAAATCCAAACTTTCCCCCAGGCATGCAGCCAGAAGCTTTCCGAGCCTTTGAGACTATACAAAGTCATTTACAATTAAACAATGTAATTAACAAGAAAGGTATTCTTCCTCTAACAGTACTTTCACGCAATTCCACGCACTCTACCATGCAAAAATTCAGGTATGCACAACTCTTGCACTATATCCAGACACAGCCAGATCTACATCTGGGATGTAGACCTTTAACTGCATTTGAGTCCTTAGCCACGACTAGGACCTTACAAAAGAAACACATCACCACTTTTTATAAAATATTACAGATACAAGATAGCGAACAAGCACCGAAATACACCACAGCTTGGGAGGATGACTTGATGATCACCTTATCCCAGTCAGAGTGGGGTAAAATATTCACCAACATTTTTAGGTCCACCACCAACACTACCATACAAGAGAGCAACAAATTTCTAGATGGCACCTAGCCCCGACCAGGACCCATAGATTTTCCCCCAACTCCTCCAGAGTCTGCTGGAGATGCAAAACTGAAATGGGAACTCCGGGACATTTGTGGTGGACATGTTCCATCATACAAAGCTATTGGGAAAAAAATCTGCACCCTCATTAATATCATTACAGGCTACAAGATGCCCACTACACCTGAGGCACTTGTATTTATGCTCTATCCCTCCCCCTTGGCAAAAACAACCCGAGTCTTAATAAACCATATGCTCACAGCTGCAAATGGTTTAATACTAACCAAATGGAAACAGAGCAACCCTCCAACCATTAGAGAATGGCTAGCGAAGGTAGAGGGGATATGGCAGATGGAAGAGCTCACACACTCCTTAAATGGCAAATATGATGAGTATGTATTCACATGGACACCCTGGGATCAATCTGTCATAGAATACAAACACGATAATGTCTACGCCCATGTACCCCCCATGAATAAGCTGATTCAGGCACTAAGGCCCTGAAAGGGAAATATGGCACATTGCACGCTCGGCCTAACACACAGGCAATACTCCAGGGGGCGACAAACCCTGCAACCAATCCAATAGCCTTCGTATACTACTGAGCCCTTTTCTGGCTCTTCGAGAATACAAGCTTTCTAGACCTAGTGCCAGACTAGTTCAAAATAAGATCTGTTTTAACATGCTCAACGACAACTGGTGATAAATATTACCCTCAAACTATAATAAACAAATACCCTAGCATGGAGGAGTGGTATCGTGTAATATATTGTATATTTGCACCACATGTACAGATATTAATATAATATTATGTTACGAACAAACCCATTTGTTATATAATATATTTAAATGTAACAACTTATAACTAAAAGTGCTCATCTGTACCTTAAAATTTGTACGATGTAACATATACTATCTTGAATCTAAGGTTTATGCGTTTAACTTTGGTTCTACAACATACTAAGCCTCATAACGTTTCAATGCGTTTTTTTTTGTTTTTGTTTTTTTTAAAGTAACACTCTTAACCATGATGTTACTGATACTGTTTATTGTACCATATTATCTGTACCAAAGATATTTCATCTACACTCTTCTGCAATTGCTACAATTGTACTGTAACATTTATCTTGTTGGAATATTGAGTGAGAAACAATAAAAAGATATAAACAAACAAAAAAATGTATTATTTCAAAAATATACATAATAAACAGAGGGAACTTACTTTATAGCCTAGATACTCTAAACTCAAATGCAAAATATATTATACATATTTATTTGTGAACATTAATCATAATTTTCCATTCCTTTGTCCAAGATGTACTATTTTTTTTTTTTTTAAATTGACAATTATTTTGTACACTGTAATCTTATATGATTGCTTATCTTAAAGAATATAAAAAACCTAATTGTTTCTTGATGAAAATTAGTACCATATTCATTTAAGAAAAATAAAGAACACAACATAGTATGATACTGCAAAGAGTAATTATATTTGTGATGAGAATGCCAATTTTTAACTACTAATAAATAGACCCCTCTAGAAACTGTCTCTAAGGTATATGGCTGTAGGTGTCTTTTGAAGTTACACCACACCTTCTAGATAGAGAATTCCACTGAATGATCTCCTCAATTGTTATAAAGAGGGCAAACAAAACAGATATTGCAGATTATCTTAATTATGATACATATGAAAGGATCAGTCTATGTGCATCGGCTTTGATGTATAGCACAGTACGCCACTAGTGATGTCGCGAACCCGAAATTTTCGGTTCGCGAACGCGAACTTCCGCAAATGTTCGCGAACCGCCCGAAACGCCATTGACTTCAATGGGGAGGCGAATTTTAAAACACACAGGGACTCTTTCTGGCCACAATAGGGATGGAAAAGTTGTTTCAAGGGACTAACACCTGGACTGTGGCATGCCGGAGGGGGATCCATGGCAAAACTCCCATGGAAAATTACACAGTTGATACAGAGTCTGGTTTTAATCCATAAAGGGCAGAAATCACCTAACATTCCTAAATCACAATGAATATGGATTGACACCTGACATATGACATATTGACACCTTGACATATGGATTGACACCTGTCCTCAGAGCCCCTGATGCACACGGACACAGAGCAGAATAGAGACTGGTCCCCCAACATAGGGTCACTTGGCAGATATGGATTGACACCTGTCCTAAGGATCCCTGATACACACTGACACAGAGCAGAATAGGGAATGTTACCCCTACATAGGGTCACTTGGCAGATATGGATTGACACCTGTCCTCAGAGCCCCTGATACACACTGACACAGAGCAGAATACAGACTGTTCCTCCTACTTGGGTCACTTGGCAGATATGGATTGACACCTATCCTAATGATCCCTGATACACAATGACACAGAGCAGAATAGGGACTGTTCCCCCTACATAGGGTCACTTGGCAGATATGGATTGACACCTGTCCTAAGGATCCCTGATACACACTGACACAGAGCAGAATAGGGACTGTTCCCCCTACATAGGGTTACTTGGCAGATATGGATTGACGCCTGTCCTCAGGATCTCTGATACACACTGACACAGAGCAGAATAGAGACTGTTCCCCCTACATAGGGTCACTTGGCAGATATGGATTGACACCTGTCCTCAGAGCCCCTGATACACACTGACACAGATCAGAATAGGGAATGTTACCCCAACATCGGGTCACTTGGCAGATATGGATTGACACCTGTCCTAAGGATCCCTGATACACACTGACACAGAGCTGAATAGGGAATGTTACCCCAACATCGGGTCACTTGGCAGATATGGATTGACACCTGTCCTAAGGATCTCTGATACACACTGACACAGAGCAGAATAGGGAATGTTACCCCAACATCGGGTCACTTGGCAGATATGGATTGGCACCTGTCCTAAGGATCTCTGATACACACTGACACAGAGCAGAATAGGGAATGTTACCCCAACATCGGGTCACTTGGCAGATATGGATTGACACCTGTCCTAAGGATCCCTGATACACACTGACACAGAGCAGAATAGGGAATGTTACCCCAACATCAGGTCACTTGGCAGATATAGATTGACACCTGTCCTAAGGATCCCTAATACACACTGACACAGAGCAGAATAGGGAATGTTACCCCAACATCAGGTCACTTGACAGATATGGATTGACACCTGTCCTAAGGATCCCTGATACACACTGACACAGAGCAGAATAGGGAATGTTACCCCAACATCGGGTCACTTTGCAGATATGGATTGACACCTGTCCTAAGGATCCCTGATACACACTGACACAGAGCAGAATAGGGAATGTTACCCCAACATCAGGTCACTTGGCAGATATGGATTGAGACCTGTCCTAAGGATCCTAATACACACTGATACACACCTACTTTGATGGTATAGACATTTTTAGCAGCTCCTGGCCCGAACACCTGACCCACATAGGAGCCGTAATAGACCGGATTAGGGAGTCCGGACTGACCCTAAAGCCCAGTAAGTGCCATATAGGAACGTGTAAAAACCTCCCCAAGATAGTAGTATGGCCCCAGAGTGTGAACAGGCCTTCCAACAGCTCAAGACGGCGCTCATTAAATCACCTGTACTTTCTTCTCCTGATCCAACTAAACACTTTCTCGTCCATACAGACGCTTCTATGCTTGGATTGGGAGCAGTACTGAGCCAAGTCGGAGCAGATGGTGGCGAGCAACCCGGGGCTTATCTAAGCCGTAAACTTTTGCACAGCGAAGTATATTCACTGCCATTGAAAAGGAGTGCATAGCGGTGGTGTGGGCCCTCAAAAAGCTGCAACCTACTTGTATGACAACCGTTACCTTACTCACAGATCACAACAAATTTGGGGCACTGCGCGTGCAATCTAATGTGCCACCAGATAGGAGTGGTGTGTTTAGTACTATTGTTATCAGTTTAATCACTGTTACGCCCCCTATCCGTTGATGTGGAGCAAGACGCAGCAGCAGAAGAGGACTAAGCCGAGGAGGTTATGGAAGAGGATGGAGTAGGAGGAGTAGAGGAGGTGGCAGCGTACTGGCAGAGTACGCTGTAGGGCTGACACACCTGCTTGAAGATAACTAACTGCTATTCAATCTATAACAGTGAAAAAAATAATTTGTTTTTAAATCCAAGCTATTGTGACACCAGTGAGTGAGTGGTGTGTTTAGTACTATTGTTATCAGTTTAATCACTGTTACGCCCCCTATCCGTTGATGTGGAGCAGGCGCAGCAGCAGGAACAGGACTCAGTGAGGAGGTTATGGAAGATGAGCGTGAACTGCTCAAGGCGGGAGGCGGAGTGGCGGATGGTTGAGGAGGACAGCAGTGGTTGACGTGGCTGAAGATGCTGGACCAGGAGGAGGCTGGCGGCTTAGAGTAGGCGAGCTGCTTGTACTCATGTGTTGATCCCATAGGCGTCTGTGATGTGAGATCATGTGCCTACGCCAAGCAGTTGTACCTAGGTGGGTGTTGGACTTTTGACTCAGTTTCTTTTAGCTGGGTTGCAAATGGCATAAGCTGTTGTCAGGGGCAGCAGACACACCACAAAAAATGCCACACTACAGGAAGCTCTGCAATGGCCCGGCATTCTGGTGTGGTACATGATATGAGTGGCACTGTAAACTGGCAGGTACCTGCGCTGTAGGGCTGACACACCCACTTTAAGGACACTGACTGCTATTCAATCTATAACAGTGAAAACATTTTTTTTGTTTTAAATCCAAACTATTATGACACCAGTGAGGTGAGTGGTGTGTTTAGTACTATTGTTATCAGTTTAATCATATTCACGTAGCCCTATCCAGGTGATGTGGAGCAAGATGCAGCAGCAGAAGAGGACTAAGCCGAGGAGGTTATGGAAGAGGATGGAGTAGGAGGGAGTAGAGGAGGTGGCAGCGTACTGGCAGGTGATACCTGCGCTGTAGGGCTGACACACCCGCTTTGAGACAACTAACTGCTATTCAATCTATAACTGATGTTTGTTTCACA